AATTTGATGAATATTTACAGTACGGCTTCAATCCGTAGACGATGTTGGCCCGATCGTCAACAAAAAAATCACCCGTCTCAGGGCAGGCGACTGGAAAAAGACACTCGTGTTCGGTCGAAACGGTGGAAACAAAATCGTCACTCCCAAAATATAACTATGCAAAATAACGATCTAAAGTCGAACCATTCGAGCCACAATATTAACATAAAAATGACTTTCTTTGCATTTGACAATGATAAACTTACCGAAAAACCGTGTTATTCTCGGTCGCTAACGTCGGTAAATCCGCCATTTTATTTGAGTGTGTTTGCCACCCGACTCCGCCCGGTGACGTCATCATGTGCGCTATAGAAGGAGGTCTGTGATTCGTTGACTAAAATCGTCGATAGTGGGTCTCGTTGAAATCTCGTTACATAGGCATCGGGTCAGATGTAGGTAGGGCGGAATTAAAAAAAATCACAAAATCAAAATCAAAGTAAAATAATAAAATAAAAGGGCATTAATAACAAAAGTAATAAAAAATAAAATTAAAATAAGTTTATAGGCAAAATAATTAAAACCCGTACACTACATCAGATTTTAATCAGATTGGCTCAAGTACATCATTCTTAATAAAAGGCGGTACACCAGAGAGAATGAACTTGGTCGCCGGTTTCACTAACGGCTCAACATAAATAAATGTGTGACCTATTGTACCTGGAGCTCACACCAGGTCAACGCATGAAACATAACTAAGAAAAAACTAAAACACTTCTATTTGCTCTAGAGGCACCTAAACATTTTTAGACTCAACAATGCCTGAAGTCCTAATAATAATATAATTGAGACTCCGTCAATCGACTCGCACTTCACACCACGTGTCAGTGAATTTGTAGGGCTTGCCGTGGAAACGGCCATCTTGGCAGGCTCACTGTACCGGCAAGTCCCCAAAACACAGAAAGGAAAACAACCAAAAAATGCAGTAGATTTATGCTGAATTAGAAAATAAAGGTAGTGCCTTGAATCACAAAGTATTTGCAAAACCAATAGAACCAACAAAAATAACTACTTAGATGTCTGAAAGGTGAAAATCGTAGATTTTTCTGGAGCTCAGGACAACGACGTGTCAATGCTAATTACATACATACAAATAAACACAAAGACATAAAATTATTTTCCATTGATGTTGTGAGCGGCTCATTAATGGTCAAACTATGGACTTTCATGTATGTATGTATGTATGTATGTATGTATGTATGTATGTATGTATGTATGTATGCATATGTATTGATATTTTGAGTAGAAAATTTGATTAATTTATTCCAACGTATCAGGAAAATGTACAAGGTTGGTAAATATTGAAAACAATGCTGAGAATAAAATGAACAATTAATGAAGATGCCGATTCGTATAGTCGCAGTGAAAGGTAGATGGATTTATTTGGCGTACATATAGAAATGCATGGAGACTTATTTTCATTCAATCTTGACAAAATGTTTGTACCATAACATATACAGTATTAAAAGCAATCCGTAGTACGAAGTGCAGATGTTGTGTATGAATATTTTTTTTACCTAGTAGAGTGCATTACTCTATGTTCTCGGCTATCCACCATTCCCAGCCTTCGTCGCGTAAAGAATGAAACTGAGCATGCGTGAATTAAATCACTTGCATGTCCACTATTTTATTTCGCCAATTGAAATTCTTACAAATGGAGGGATTATACAAACGCGGGTCAGCAAAAAATAATCTTTAAAATCGAAAGAGCGGATCTAATCTACCAGTTGCACAATTGCTCTTTGCATAACATTTGAAGAGTATTGCAGCGAATACATCAACCATGTTCTGTTTATTATTAGACTTTTCTGTTATCAGTCTGACGCTAGCAGCACGGCATGAGGTAGGTTTACTCTTTTATTAATCTACGATGTATTGTGTATGTTCACCTATCATCACTATTGCCACGTTACCAGCATTATTTCGGTTTTATACCATCCTTCCTCGACTAGACAGCACAACTCCTAGTGACTTTAGAAGTATGCGTTCACCAATTGTAATCTTACATAATTGAAATATATGGTTTTAACTTGTATTCAGATTATTACTTTGTGGACACGTAATGACGTGATACAAACCAAACAATAACATTAAGCAAATTAGAACAATTCATGTTACGTACACGTTGATTTG